GGAAACATTCATGTCGGTAGAGTGACATTGTTGTGTTTCTAGAATGGAGGCTACACCCCCACTCCTATGTGGAGTCAGAATCGGTTCTCTGTAAGCGAGGGAGTCCTTAGGGAGCTCGTAGGAACTCCGATTATACCTACCCTTCTGTCTCAGACTACGGCCATCCCGAGAGTTCCGTTCGGATCTGGTAGCGATCAGTTCTCCAGGCTGGAACCTACTCTGTGGTTGAGTCCCACCCCCCTGGCTCTGTTCTCTATTCTGCCGGTGATATGGTCTCTTATTCTTAGCACAAGGCAGCTTGTTGCCCTCACGTGACACGTGACGTAAGCGTGTCTGCCAAACCGCCTGTGCGAATCTCTTGATCTCTTTCATACTAAGCTGATGTGTACGACTATGCAGGGTGACATCTGAACGCACGCAGCCATGCAGATTGTGCATGAAGATGGACTTGAAAGTTGGGTTCTCTTCCAAACCTGGAGCCTTACGTCCCTGGAAATATGCAGATCTAAGTCGCCAGTAATAATCTTTGGGGGCCTCGTGCTTCTGATGCAAGACACTGAAAGCACTAAGAAGGGCAGATGCAGGGTCAATGTAGGTGGAGTATTCCTGGCGCAAAGCATTGCAGAGCGCAGAGTACTGGTATCTGATCTCAGGCTGAAGGGTAGTCGTGAAGTTACGGACACTCTTGGAAGTTGTCTTCCAGATCAGCCTGAGTTTTTCTCTTGTGGATGCATCAGGTACCTCACTGAGACACAGGTTAATCTCTCTGAGGTAATCATCGATGCAGAGGTCTGAGTTATCTGGATCAAACCGCTCTACATCCTGTGCCATAGATTCAATGAGCCTTATGCGCATTCTTTGATCTCTGGGTAGAAGGGAGCCATCCCAGTCATCTGAGGTTTGGATATTCCTCAGCTGTGAATCCTGCAATGGGAACCTACAGGTAGCAGGAGGGGGCCTGGTGTTATCTCTGCCTCTGGGGGCTGAGAAGTCACCCCCCTTCCTATGTGGTGATTCAAACCTGTGAAGGTGTGAAAGGGTGTCACAGTTGTCAGAGAACTGGGGCGTTTCCCAAGGAGCGGGGCTCCACAGTCAAAATCAGGGAAAACTAGACTTATTTCCTCAGTCCTTGGGTTATCCTGGCTGCTCGGTTCTTTACTGAGCTTTTTCAGCAGGGTTGTTTGATCTCTTAAGGGGCTTGGTCCAGGATCAGAGTCATATCCTGACGATGTGTCTTGCTCCATGCTTACCTGTGCTCCCTGAATTAATTCAAGCATGTCCAACACTTTCTGCTTGGCAGTTTGTAAGTGCTGATTAACAGATTTGTTTCCTTTCTGCAAGGATCGGACCTTTGGTGGGAGTGTCCCCATGAAATCACGGACACTCCTAGCCGTAGTCTTCCAGATCCGTTTCAGTTTTTCATGTGAGGACGCATGAGGCAGGTCAAGGAGACAATGGTCAACTTCTCTAAGGTAATCGTTAATACTTGAATCTGGGCTATCTGGGTCAAAACGCTTCAGATCTTTGGCCTGAGGTTCTATCTGCCTGGTTCGCAGGCCCTGACCCGAAGGCTGGCGAGGGTCGTCCGATTCGTCTGATGAATCGTAAGCCCTGTGGTTGTCACGGTAGTAGGGTTGTAACCGTGGCGGGGTTTGTGTTCGGCTCAGACGTGGCCGTCTATCGTGGGACAGGTAGCGTTCGGTGCCCAATTGGGCCCGTGTCTCCTCCCTGTCTCTAGGGGGAGTAAAGCCTCTCATCCTGCGGGGTGAGGGTTCTCTTCGCTCAAAGCGTATGCGGAACGCGGGGGCCCTTCCTCTTTACTCATCCTACTCTTTACCGGGTGGTCTGAGGACGTGGGCGCTTTTGTGCCTGGGTCGACCCGGCGGTGCCTTCCCCTCTCCTCCAGATCCTGCAACATGTCTGTCTCCCTCCTCCAGGGGCTTGTTTCAGTCTCCCATCCTTCGTCTGAGGTTTCCTCATCTGATCTGGGGGCTGAGTCCTTCTCTGCCTGTCCTGAACTCTGGGTACCATATCACTTCGTTTCTCTGTTCGGCCAGTTTGCTGCTTTCGTGCAGTGTTTTATTCTCCTCCTGCAGGGCCTTGCAATTTTCCTGCAAGGTCTTTAGTTTATCCTGCATTCTTTCGAAGTCGTCCCGCAGGATCTGTCCTTCTTCTAGTACCCGGGCTAGCTGTTCCCGGTGTATCTCATTCTGCACATTTGATTTGCGCTGATAAAGGAGGAGAATTTCGCCTAGAACATCTGAAGCTGTACGTGTTGGCTTCCCAGTTGGTTGATTTGCATATTCAACCAAGCCCTTTAGTCTCTTTTCACATGTGCTGAGGGTGTAGGAGTTCAGGCTGTCGAGCTGCTCTATAGGGAGGTGGATAAGATTAGCAACTACGTCTTGAAGGGGTGGATCGTCTGATCCATAGTGAGCTTTGGCCCATAGTTGATGTATGTCTTCTGCATACATTCTGTCTTTATTAGGGGTGAGCCTGGCTCTGTGGTTGACAAGATCAACTAGCTCTTCTAACTTCTTATCACTAATGCTAATTGACTAGCTATATAGGTTGCACTCTCCTCTAAGGAGAGGTTCGTCAGACCGGCAGCAGTTTCTTGCAGTGCTGCGTCGTCTGATCCAAAAGGAGTCTCAGCCCCGACTCACCTAGGGTCTTGGTACACAAGAGCAAATCTTATCTAAGTTTCCCAACTGATCACTGCAGTCTATCCTGGAAGATAGGAGAGGGGATTCACACCTCAAGTCCTCAAAGGAAGGGAGGAACTCACACCTCTCAGACAGCTGGCTATGCCACAATGATGAGGTTACACTCTCATCTGGCCAAATGGCTCTCAAACAACAAGGAGCACCACAATCCTTTAGTCGAATACTTCAGGATCAAAATCTAGATTAATGCAACAAATCAAGTTCCTTGATAAAGTCACACTAGCTGCATCATTATGTCCAATTGTTGTATGGACCCAAAGGGGACAACAGTTACGGCTTTAACCATTAACTAACAACATAAACACAACTAAGCCACAGCTTGATGTCTGCTTTGCTTAAACCACAAAAATTTAAAGAAAATATAATTTTCTTCCGAAGGATCCTTTTTAGGATTTTAAGTTTGGATTACTGTGCATTAACAGTGCAATAAAGCTGGTTTATTGAAGGCCTCACACGGGCCGCACCATTTGTTGGGGTTGTATCAAGTCAACTTTGGTTATATTCTTTAATAATTATACTTAATTATTAATAATATAAATAAAATATCATTAAACTATGTTTAATCTCGTTTTGGGGCACCAACCTGTAATCAGGTAAATATAACCAAAATATCACTCAAATCAGTCTCAAATTAGTTATTTAATTACTAATATTATTAATAATGAATAACTATATTTAATAAATTGAAGGCGTGAAATCCGTACACAAAGCCTTCGCACCCAGCTTATATCACAATGTAAATACACCAGTAACCACAAACAACTGCTCTCTTAAATTATAACAGAATTTATTTAAACAAAGCAACATCAATCCAAAATCAATGAACTTAATTAAACAAATAACTATTATAAACTAATCTAAGCAACAAACATTATCAAGCAAAGGCTTGTGGAAGGGGTGTGTGTGTGTGTGTGTGTGTGTGTGTGTGTGTGTGTGTGTGTGTGTGTGTGTGTGAGAGAGAGAGAGAGAGAGAGAGAAGAGGGAAGAAGAAAGGGGGGAGATGGCTTCGTACCCTCGTGGTCGTTCACGATGGCGCAAACCTAACAAAGACCTGGGTGCGTGCACGTGTGGATGAAAGGGAGAGAGAAGGGGGGGAAGATTACTTCGTCCCACGTGGTCGCCCTTCCGATGGCACACACCTAACAAAGGCCTAAATGTGGCCTTAAGGTCTAAAAGAGACTGAGTTCGGCCCTACACAATCTGTGTCTCTGAGGCGTCTGGATAGCCGCGAGTGTATAGATCTCTGTGCGTAATGGCGCGGTGGTGGAGTTGGTCTCCAGATGTACGTTTACACAGGAATATGTGTGTATGTGTGTGCGTAGAAGGGGAAATAAAAGAGAATAAAAGAGAAATGCGTGCCTGAAGAGGCCGGATCACAGTCCGACTCCCGCGCCACAACTCGGAGTAATTCCCTTCATTCACAGAAACAAACCAATAGCCGAATTCAGGTTAATACAGCTTACACTGGCCTTTCTGATCAGAAGAGTAATACCCGGTTATAACGCTGTTACGCTAAACACATATAGGACGCAGCGGTCCGAAACAACAACAAGAGTTTTAAACAGTTAAAACTCAGGACGCAGGTCCAACAAAGATAAAAATTACAGTTTCTGCTTTGATCAACAATTGTTAAAAACACTCTCTAAAGCTAATTCTGCCCAGACCTAATTAAGCCTCACTTGTGAATCGCTTTGTCCGCGATTGGTGAAGGAAAAGAGTCCGGTGATGGAGCAGATCTTCTGTCCGTCCTGGTGCAGAGGCGTCTGATGGCGGCGAGGGTCCCTTACGGCGAGAGCGGCTTCGTTGGTTCTCCGTCGAGTGGAAAGATGTCCCTTGATGTCCTTTCGTTGCAGGACGGAATAAGACCGTTATCTTTCTGATAATCTGTTATAGTCTGACGCTCTCCGAGAAACTGAGATGCGTTCACTGGACAATCCGAGCTCGGAATTTAGAACACTGCCGGCCGCGGATTACCTGCGCGCCAAAACTTAAAACAAAGGAAGATTGTTGCAGGAAACAGGAGATCTTCTTGGGTCTCCGAGCACCGAAGGTCAGCGCGTGAAAGAGAGCGAGCAATGGAAGTCTTGGAGTTTTGTAGCCTGGCCTGCTCCATGGGGGTCTACCTCAGGTCCCCTCCAATGAGGAGAGAGAGGTTCCGGTCCCCCCTTTACTTCACACGTAGGTGTGAAGTACCGCAGGGGATTCTGGGATTAAGAGTCCTTTTAGGCCTCTTTGTGATCTCAGTGAATAACTCAAATGAGGCTTTTACAGAGGTGCAGGCCCAAGTCCATTGCTTGACTGTTCTAAGCCTGCGTGGCCCAACACTGATGATAAATATATCTGAACGCTTTGTTTTGGTCACCATTTCCCAGGGGGAGGGAAATCAGTGGCTGTTGCTGGAACAATCACAGTTGTTCTCCTGGTTATCGTGTTCCTCTCTGTCCTCGTGTGGATCAGGTGAGCTGCTTTGTTTCACTGAATCATTAAAAGTCAGTCATATCTAAAAAACATAATTCATCATACTTTTAAATTCTTCTCACAAGACAAAAGAGGGCTTCCAATGAACCGTCTGAGGCTGAAGAGAGACAAGAACACACGGAGCAGGTGAGAATAGTTCTGATTAATATCTTAGTACTAAATAAACGCTGATTCATTCAGACTGCTGTGTTACTCAGAGGTCGTTCATCCAGAAGAGTAAATGTGCTCGATATGGTCCGTCCAATAATCTGACCAAGCAAATATTTCACTCAGCCGACTGCTCAGAGCTGATCATCCTACAAGTACACAATCATTGCGTTAGTTTCTGCAGACATCATGAACAGTAGCTGCTGGTCATTAGAGAGCGCTAACACAGCCCACCCACTGCCTGGAAGGGGAATTTGTTAAAAATAAATACAATGCATACCATACATGAATTATTTAAAAGGGCAAAGTAAATGTAGTTATTTAGATTTAAAATGTTGTACATGTCCAAAGTTACTGATTGGTGACATGTCTTTTATCTTGCTGTCTTTGAGTAAATTTATTATTTATACTTGCTGACGAGAAAGAACATTTCATATTTGTCCGATAGAAACAAATTCCTGAGGCTGTCTTTGAATTTTCCTCCTGTATAAAAACATGGACGTCGTCTCAGTGATGTCACCCACTGGTTTCTGAAGTGAAATGTTGAAGCTCACTGATGGTGGTTGCCATATTGGAAATGCTGTCTTTGAGTGAACCTAGTAACAAGCAAAAATCTGGAGCTGAGGCGGGTCTTATGCCTCCTGACAAACGGCTACAACACGCCCACCTGGGAGTCAACTCAGCCACGCCCCTAATTATGTTTAACTGTTAGCGTTCATAAAATAAAAATGGTTAAATCCCCCCCTTCTACACTGTGTGCCAACACTCAAAGTATTTTAATAACATCATCACCATAAGTGCTGTTGCTGTGGCCTTTCCTATCTTGGTTGCGGTCCTCTGCTAGAATTCACTTTTTAAATGAAAAACCTCCACATGGTAAATATGCAGCTCAAAGTGATTTTGTTCACCTAATCAGGGACAACCAGAGGAGCAGGAAGACCTTCAGTATGCCAGCATACACTTCTCTAAAACCCAGGAGCCTCTGTACAGCAATACCAGACCAGCTCGGCCCCCAAGAAGAACGGAGCAGCAGGACGTCACTGAGTACACTGCCGTCAAATTTACCAGGAACAGCACCGCCATGAGGTGAGCAGCTGAGAAAACATTAAACTCTCACTATAAGATGAAAGCTGTTTTCGCTCTTATCTTCCTCTGATGTGTTTGTACTTTAATCCTGTAATGGACGTGTTGGTAACTCAATTCTTTTAGTTAAACTTCATGTTGATCAATTTTCCCCTTCAGAACCAGAAGTAAAGAACCTGAAGAGGATCCAGCTGCTCTGTACAGCACCGTCAACAAAAGCCGATGACCTCGACAGGCACTGTGTTCACACTCTGTTTTAGATTTCATATATTTGAATGTATGCAGGTTGCTTCTGATTTTACAACACATGTCTTATGAACTGCTCCTTAAAGATTATACCTTTGTAATGATTTTAACGGCCTGATAAATGTAACATAAAGCAGCCTCGCTTTTTACCTCCAATCTGTCAAATCTACCACACATGGGAAGTATTTCATGACTTAGACTGGGTGGTATGTAGGGATGTGCACCACTGACAAAGGTTGGTTTGCAAAGGAGAGGGAGTGCTTTCTGATGGGGCCCCCTTTAGGGAGGTATCCTACTGTCATTGCAAAATTTGCACATTTTGAGCCACCGCTGTGGTTTTTTGTCAGCCCTTGGGGGACCCCTACTGGCCTGGGGGCCCAATCAGCTGCCTGCCTTGCATGTTGACAAACAGCTCCTCTGAATACCGTCGACAAAGACGCTCTTGGACTGATAAATAAAAGTCTTTGCAAGTATTCATGTACCTTTTTATATTAAATATATAATTTATATTTATCGTGTGACTCTTCAAATAGTCTTTGTGTAGATATTATTGCTAACTAGATCTTTGTGTAGTTGTTGTTTTGTCATCAGAGTCCGTAAAACATAATCTACAACTCTATTGTATTCTCATAATCCATCAGTGTGTGGATCACACTGTATGTTTGATTCTTAACTGTTTGTTACTTTTATCTCACATGTACCACAACATGTAACACACAGTGAGCCTGTGCCTCACAGGAGTGTTGACATTGGCTGAATTTCTTTTCTGTAATCTCTTGAACTTCCTCTTTTGCTCACTATCCGTCTGCGCCTCTTTTGTCTGAGTTGTGTGATTCCCTGTTTGAGTTCACTGACTGAATACAAACAGAAACATTTCATTTAAAACACTTTGAAATAAAGCACTGATATTTCTCAGGCTGTGTGAAATGACACCATAGAGGTTGTGTGTTTGCAATGCTTTGTTGTTGTTGTTGTTGTTGTTGTTGTTGTCGTCGTCTGTGCAACAGTGTGTGCACATCTAAAGTGACATGATGCAAAGAATCCGTGATGCAGGGAAACGTTGAGAGGCAGAGTCTTCTCTGTGCTCTCTGCAGAATGAGCACACACAAAACGATCAATGTCTGTAAAAACAGGAAGAGACATGTTTGACTCTTTTTTTTTTTCTCATTTTACTCTCTGTGGAAAGAAACTGTTTCTCAGTCTTGTTTGTTTTGATTGTCCTGTATCTCCTTTCAGAGGGGAGGTGTGAGAAGAGACATTGTCCAGGGTGGGTGGGGTCTTCTACCCTTGGAGCCGGCTGGTTTATACGTCACTGAAGGCTGGTAGTTTAGCCTCGATCACACGCTCTGCCGCCCTCACCACCAGCTGTAGGTCCTTCCTGTCGTCTGCTGTGCAGATGCTGAACTACACAGTGCAGCAGGAGGCTTCAGTTTATCAGCAGGGGTTGAGGGAGGTGAGCCTGTCTCAGCTTTCTGAGGAACTGGAGTCGGACATCATATATGCAGTTCTACTTATTCCAGAGTCCTTAAACATGAAGTGCAGATCACATATGATGCATTATGTCTTCATTTATGACCCAGTTGTTGACCTAGATTGGATCTGACTTCTAGATTCATTTTGAGGTTTTATTTCCCTGAAAGAGACTTTACCAAGTCCACAAGAGAGACTCCCTGCCATTTCCAAAAACTGAATTTTTAAGAAGCTACTGCATCATTTGCATAAAAACAGTGAGAATCATTTCTTCATTTCATCTCAGGCGTTTACTGTATGTTGTGTGCTCATGCATAATAATTATAAAAAGAGGAAGAAAGCCGGCGTGGCTCTTCATCTGTTCAACACAAGTTCACTCACCACATATTTAAAAATGCGTCTTGAAAGACCACATCCTCATTTTAAGAAGAAGCCATTTTTATAGTGACGACCTCACACCAGTGTGTCTCATGGATGTGATGAACCTGTTGATTTAACAGAGACGAGAGGAGCAGCTATGAGTTTAACAGCAGCAGCGAGTGGATTTATCGTCTTCCTTCTCTCTGTGCCAGGTAACTTACTTCCACATTTATACTTCAAGGCAAAGAGCAGACTTCAGAAAGTCAGAGGAGATGTCATTTTAAGTTAAATACAAAATTTTTCATCGGTGATGAGTTACGACATCAGAAATGTGCTTCTCTTCCTGTAATACTAAGTGTTTACAGGAAGTTCAGCAGACTGTGTTTGAACGCTTATAACCTTCCTTTATAAACTTCAGAGATCATGCTCTAACTGAGCTGGAAGAGTTGTGTTGTGATGGGTTTTGTATGAATGATCTGCAGTCCTCCAAACTGAACGTTAGCATGTGTTTGTGTGCATTCGTGTATTTAGAGGCTGTTTACTCTGTGACAGGAAATACAACATAAATATATCACATATGAGGTCTTTTTTTCTGAGCAGGATTTTAAAGGTGATTGAGAAAGATTATAGCAGCACTAATGTAAAAATATTCCTGTACTGATAGAAGCAATAGAGAATTATCAGCAGATGCACACCTTCTATCAGCTCTGCAGACCATTTTATGCCTTTCAGCTCATTGTTTTGGCTCTTTTGGTACACTTCAGGTACAAAGTACACAAAAAAACTTTACTGTAAAGAAACTAATATTTGCGGTAACCAGTGTTAATCTCGTTAACAATATAAATGACGAAAATATTCATTGACAAAGGTCTTTTTAAATTAGTCAACTATGACGATGACGAGCCAAAACTCCGCTATTTGACGATTTGATAAATAATATTACTTCATCATCGAATTGACGAAAATGTGATGAAACAAAAACTACATTACAAGTGACGATTATCCCGTACCCCCTCAGCTGTTCTAAAATCATTGTAAACCATAGCATACTCTGTGAAGCCCCGCCCCCTGCAGCTTCTGATAATAAAAATAAAAGCTAGCGTCTGATTTTGTTGACTAAAATATCTTCTATTTTCATCAACTAAAATGATGTGCAATTTTAGTCAGTGACTAATTGACTAAATTAAATCAATAACAAATGACTAATATCTGACTGAATATAAAGGACATTTTTGTCAGGAGACTATGACTAAATTAAAAAATGGTGTGAAGATTAACACTGGCGGTAACTACTAACGAACGAGTTACTTTCCAGATTCAATAACGCCGTTACAGTTACTGACAGTTAAAAGAACTTGTTACTTTATGTGAAACAGCCGACAACGAGCAGGCGAGGTTACGCTGACGTCAGCACAGCGGCATCCTGGGAGAAAGAACGTTGTGCGCTGTGATCCAACGTTACCGTGTTATATTCTAAGTTTGTTCAAAGTTGATTTTTTTTAAATGACAGCACTACTCCAGACAAACAGCCAACCTGACTTAAAACACTGACTGGTCCACGACCTGCAAGCCGGACAAGTAGACTGACAGACAGGTATGTTGTTGACAACGGGCTTCATATATAGGGGCGTGTCCAGACTTTTCTGACTCGTGTGGCCGGCCTGGGACCCCGGGTACTCCGGCTTCCTCCCACAGTCCAAAGAAATGCTCGTTAGGTTAACTGGTGACTCTAAATTGCATGTAGGTGTGAATGTGAGAGTGGCTGGTTGTCTGTCTCTATATGTCAGCCCTGTGATTGACTGTTGACCAGTCCAAGGTGTACCCCACCTCTCGCTCAATGACAGATGGGATTGGCTCCAGCCCCCTGCAACCCCTAACGGGAAAAGTGGTACAGATAATGGATGGATGGATTGGAGCGCACAAATCACTTGAGGCAAATTTATTTAGATGCAAAGGAAAAATGTTTGACGTTGAGTCGACATTGAGGAAGACACATTGCTCCAGTAGTTTCTTTGGATGCTGTCCAAGAGATGGAGTCGACTGAATAATGTTTTTTGGACATCTAAGATCCTTCTCTGAGAGCACCGACCTCCATTTGTGGCTGAAGCAAAAGTTTCCTTCTTATTTAATACATATTGTTGAGACTGATTTCGACTCCTTTTTGTTATTGGTCGCTGATTACGAGGTGGTGCCCCAAAAGTAATTGATACATTTGTTTCTAGATATTAATTTTTAATAATCATGATTATTATTATTAATAATATATTGTTAATAACCAAACTGCAACATCAGTTTGAAAAGTTTGAAAATGCTGTCTCTCTCTTTATTATCTACCCATCACAGTTTTTGCTCACACCTCATTTCTCAGCAGTTTCCATTCACACTCTGCTGTCGCCGCATCACGGACAGGAAACAACTCAGCAGAGCAGAGTTTAGTTCTCATGTACTCCACTCTTCTAATATTTATTTATTTTACCTCCTGGTCAAACAAAACAGTTTTAAACACAAATGTTCTCGACACTGAGACCCCTGGCTGCACCCTCTATATCATGTCTTTATCGTCTTTAATAGAGATCAGGTGTACGTCTTCAACTGTTGCTCCGCCTCTTTTCCCTTTTGCAGTAACCTCTATTAATAACAGATATCTGTATATTAATGCAGAGTCTGTACATGCATGACCATTTGGGTATATGAAGTGTTCTGCTGTCTGGTTGGTGGTTGAGTAGTATTGACAAATGATGTTTGAACAGTCTAAGATTGTGTTCACACCTTGCATTGTCATCCCTGGGTGATCTTATAACAAGTGGACAATACCTTAGTACAGGCGTTCAAACTTTGCATGGACAGAATCTGTTGTTCTCCCAGGTTTTAAGTTGAGTGGGCGGTCCTAAATGCTGCAGTGAACGCATGAGTGTTTACACTATCAATCCAATGTGAACAAATGCATGCCACACCACGTCTGTATGTGGTCCGAGCTGTCAGAACTCATCCTCAGGAGGCATTGGGGCGCGTTCACACCGAGCATTAAGGCTATCCACTTGTCATCAGATCAACAAAGACGGATATTAATGAAATGTGTGAAGAGCCTCTTTGGGCGTTTTCACATCTAGCCTGTTTGGTTCAGTTAAAGATATCTTGAGTCTGTTGCAAGTTTGTGCTGGTGTGAAAGCTGTCAATCAAACCCTGGTGCAGACCAAACAATCATATCCGGATCACTCAAAAAGGGGGGTACACTTATTTTTTTGTGCTGTTTGTAGGAAAACAAACTTCTTTTTTTATTAAATCAGCTACATTAGCTGTCCGATCAGACACAGCGCTGACCAGCTGTCTGGTGCGAGTGTAGAGCACCCGGTCCACAGAGGACACAGCTCACACCTCCTGCGCAATGTATGACACTTCATTCTTAAGATCAAGGGAAGAAAAGAGAGGCCCTGTTTAATGCAGAGGTTTTCTTATAACCAAAATCTTCTTTGTAATATTCAGATTTATCTCCTATAACTCAAAGATACTGTACGTTCATTTACCTCTTCCACTGATACCTATTTTGCGCTTGCAGTCATCCTGCTTTCCGTCCAAACTCTCCATGACGTAAACCAGTAGAACACGCAAAAGCCCAACTGGAATAGTACCGCCTGCACAAGGTTTGCACCTGGTGTCATTCACGCAAATCTTCTTAGTAGATCACCCGCAAATCGCCCACTAACCACACGTGCAAATTTTTGGAGTAAACACGCAATTTAGTACTCTTTACTTGGGAGCTCAGTAAATCTGGCCCTAGGTGTGAAAACATTTGGCTCCAATAAGCAGAACAGTCGATGTGGAGAGAAAAGACAAGGAACAGAACGGTCAAGATGTGATCTTCTGCTGTCATTAAACATCAAGAAGTACGCTTTTTCACAATAAGTATTTTTGCTGAAGTGAGGACAACAATCTGATCATAGATGTCGTCTCTGAACTCTTCATACTTATGACTTTAATTATTAAACAGACTGTAAATAGTAACTTCTGCACAAAGAGACTTGACCTTTTCTACTTTATTAGGATAGCTGCTAGCTTTGTCTCACTCTGACATCAGGTGTAGTCGTACTAGTTGAAGCACCTCCACTATGAATGAAGGTTTGACTCATGATGCTGCTCTTACTGTAACTGTGGTTCTTGATGTGCTCTATTTTACAGTGATTCAGGGTCAGGCTGGCTGGGGAGTGACTTACTCCTCTACTGAAGTCTGTGCCTTAAGAGGATCAACAGTCGTACTAAGGTGCACCTACAACTACCCATCGCGATTCAATTATCAGTCTACTACAGTTCAGAAGTCCTTCTGGTTTACTAAAGTCCAGGATGGAGAACCTGTAGATCTGCAAACAGACTCACAGTACACAGGTCGTGTGACCTACAGCTCTACCTGGAAGGACTCCACTCTGACAATCACAAATGTGGGAAATAGTGACTCAGCTGTTTACAAGTTCAGGTTCATAACAAACCATCAAGATGGAAAATATACTGGTGATCCCGGAGTCACTTTGTCCCTCACAGGTAATGTTTTCATTCATTTGTTGATTATTTTAAAAACAATAAAACAACAATATCAATGTCTTCTTTTATATTTGTGCATATAAATATAGACAGTGTGAAATTTCCTCTCTGTTCTCTCTCCACAGATCCAGATCTTCATGTGGGCACATCTAGATATTATTCTTCTTCTTCTTGGGCAGATCTGACATGTGTCAGCAGTTGTACTCTCCCTCCTCATTCCTCCTACATTTGGTTCAAGAATGGAGAGAAAATCCCCAGAAAAACATCCTCGACTTACTCAGACAAGTTTAAATATGCAGACAGCTATTCCTGTGCTTTACAGGAACACCAGGATTTCCCCTCTCCTCCAGTGTGTGAGTTAACTTCACAATCTGCTTCGAACAAAACAACATCTGGTGGTGGAGACGTGTAACTACTTGTTTTTTTTCTCTTGTGAGTTTTTACTCTGTTTTAAATGATTTGTTTAATTTTCCAGGTGTTCATGGTGAAACCTGTAACAGAGTGAAGTACGATGTCAGAACCATCTGTGCACCCAAAGGCTCATCAGTGGACATTTATTGTACTTACAAAGGTCATGAAGCGGTCACTTCAGAGTTCTGGTTCAGTCCTGGACGTAGTCAGCATTGGTATCAGTCAAATCGTGTTCAGGTCTCTGAAAGAGAGAGAGGACGCTCCACTCTGAGAATCTCTGACCTGAGAGAGAACGATTCAGCCCAGCATCGTTTCAAATTTACAACAAGAAGCTTTGAATGGAGGAGCAGTTTACCTGGAACAACTCTGACTGTCACAGGTACTAATGAACGCAGAGCCATGGAGACACACAAACACAGAACCTGAACTCATCACTATCAGTTTGTACTCACTGTTTCATATGAACAAACAGGTCATGCTTGTGTGTTAATGATAAGAGAGCCTTTGTGATGAATGTCACCACTCAGCGTCTTTTACTTTAGAGCAGAGGTTCTCAACTGGTGGGTCGGGACCACAAAGTGGGTCGCAGAGCCGTTTTCAGTGGGTTGTGAATTTGTGTTTGGAAACATAAAGTGTGCCAAAAAGTCTATGAGTGCTTTAAACATGTTTTGTACCATCTGAGGTCCAAACTGCACAACATTTAAATACATCTCATTGGTTGACAAATATCAGATAATTTGGTTTACACTTCCTCATAGTTGATAGTCGGTCCTGAGGCGAGACCAGTTGAGAACCAACGATTTAGAGCAATCCAACTTTTTAGCAGCTTCTCTGAGTTTTTTAGTTTCAAATCTTTGAACTCTTCAGGTAGAAGCTTTTGTCCTTTTCTTTTCTTGGGAAACCAATCTGTATTTGAAGAGCCCTAATTCTTAACAAACATTACCTAAAGACAATCTGAAGAGGGGAAGCTTGTTTAGGCTCGGTTTTACACCAAGCTGTAAAGTATGTCAGACAGAAATGATCATAATAGAAAAGACGCCTAATTTGTGTGCGCTGACTGAGTCAGACCAAAAAAAGGCATTTTAATCCAAGTTCTCTGTTGGAGCTTTTCTGTCAGAATAAAGGCTGTGTGGTCACAGACTCTTAGTTTTCTTGCTTTGACTTCTAGATATTGTGGAAGTTGAAATGATGTGCATCTAAATCTAATCTCTCTCTTTTTAGAACAGAGACAATTCACTTTTTTTTCCTCCATATCCAGCGTTACAGGTTCAGGTTAAAAGGATAAGAGCCGATCAGCATTCCATTGAGGTGGAGATGACGTGTCACAGCAACTGCAGTGAAGTCGGTCGTCTCTCATACGTCTGGTTCAGTAACAAACAGAAAATAACCGGAGCTGTGACTTCTACCTATAAAGGCTGGTTTTATCTTGAGGATGAAATCTCCTGTGCCTTAAACGGACATGATCGATTCCCCTCTCCTTCAGTGTGTGAGTAAACTTGACTAAATCACAAAACACACTTAAAGACTAACGCCACAGCACACTTACACTTTAAGTTCCCTTAAAACCCTGCTGGAATCTTATAGATTTAAAAGTCCAATGTGTAAAATATAAAAGACAGCTCTCTCCAATGTTTAGAAGTACCCATTTTAAACACTAGGTGTCAGAGCTACATACTGCTCCTTTAACTCTGTTTACAAATGAGTAATATTAAACTGCTCTGTAACAATTTTCAAATGATCACAACAGAGTTAAAACAGAATCTGAGTACAAAAGCAACTAAAGATTAAGCTTCAGTCTCGTGAAGATATCAGTGATGAAGCAAAAGCTAAAACGATTAACACATATTCAATGTTTTAGAAAGAGACTCCTCAAAATAACCTGGAAGCTCACAGCCTTAGTTTTACAGTTTGTTATGTATACTGAATAGAGTTGATGACAAGACAAAAAAAGAAGTAAAACTCGAGCTCCATGGTCAGCACTTAACAGCTACTGTGACCAAAAAGGAACATAAAGACATCTAGATAAAAATGAACATGTATCTATGATCAAATGTTCTTATCTTTGAGTAATGTCTCCTGATGTCTTCCTCCAGATGCTCCAAAGCTTCTCTCTGTGTCAGTGAGTCCCTCTGCTGAGATAGTGGAGAACAGTACTGTGACTCTGACCTGTAGCAGTGATGCTAACCCAGCAGCTAATTATACCTGGTACAAGAAGAATGGGAACCCAGACTTTCAACCTCTCAGTAAAGGACCAGAGCTCGTCTTCAGCTCCGTCCAGTCGTCTGACTCTGGAGAGTTTTACTGTGCGGCTGAGAACGAGCTGGGGAGGAGAACATCTGAACACTTTATCTCTGATGTGAAATGTGAGTGAAAAATGACAAACAGTTTTTATCTCTCCTGTCTCTACGGGAGAAGATTGTACTCAGCTTTCACGTTAGAAATTCATTCACACTTAGCTTCAATCCACTGAGCTAGAACTGGGGAGTTTTGTCACATAGGCTTACTGTACGTATGTTTCAGACAATCATCAGCTAAAATGTTGCTACACAACGTTATTCAGTTTATGATTTAATTACTCTGTGCTATGGTGGTAGCATACCTCAACATAGAATATTTACTGCTTACTTATCTTCTCCAGATGCTCCAAAGCTTCCCTCTGTGTCAGTGAGTCCCTCTGCTGAGATAGTGGAGGGCAGTTCAGTGACTCTGAACTGTAGCAGTGATGCTAACCCAGCAGCTACTTTTAAATGGTACAAGAAGAACCAATCAGCAGCTCAGGGACGAAAAGGCATTTATTATTTTACATCCATTAGCCCTGAGGACAGAGGGATGTACTACTGCACATCTGAGAATCACTATGGACGGATCAACTCTTCAACTCTATTTGTAGATGTCCAGTGTAAGCGCAAAAGTCAACACTTCATATTTTGTATTCTATTCAGACAAAGTTCCTTCGGCCAATTTTCCTTGGGCTAAAGCTTAAAGCCACATACTAACTCTTAACACATAATTTCTTAATAATGTAGTCGGTAGAGCATCTTGGTACAATGCTCCATGGGAAAATGTAACATTAATTAATTGATTAATGAATTATTAAATTTGAAAATCTTGATGAACTGATGTACATTCTATAATTTGTAAAGTAACAACAGTTAATAGAAAACAAATCCATCAACCCACTGAGGGCTGGATTCTAAATCACCAAAATCAAAATTTAAAAAATTGGCTGATCCGACTTGGGTGAATTTGATCACAGCAGCTCTAATGTGACTCAGGACTGCCTGTATTCCCCACTGCCTGTATTTACTCACAACAAGATCTGGACAAGATCCTTATGAGTCAGCAGATGGTGTCCTTGGAGGTCTCCTCCTAGACCTGGATCAGGGCATCAGTGAGCTCCTGATTCCTAATGTCCCAAAGGTTCTTAGTTGGATTTAGGTCAGGGGAGCAATAGCAGCAGTCAATGGCATCAAGGCCTTCATTATCCAGGAACAGCCTGCTGGCCATATGAGGTCAGGCATTTTCCTGCACCAGGAGGAACACAGGGCAAACTGCACAAGCACAAGGTCTGACAATTGCTCAGAGGATTTCATCCCGGTACATACCAGCAGTCAGGGTTGGCTGTGAGGGGCTGTCATGTCTACCCAGACCATCACTGACCCACCCCAGATGCTGGGCGATGCTACAGGCAGTATTACATTCATCACAACGTCTCCAGATTCTTTCATGCCTGTCTCCTGTGTTCAATGTGAACCTGCTCAAATCTGTAAAAAGAACGGGCCACCAATGGTGGACCTTGCAATCTCTAAGACGTGCCAATCGAGCTGCATGATGCAGGGCTGTGAGCACAGGTCCCGCCAAAAATTAGAAGATGCATGCGGAAGGAAAAGGACATCAGTGGCCAAGTGAAATGTACAGTTGATTAATAGCCTACATGTCACCTTTATAGATGTAACAATGGCCTTTTGACTCTTGGCAAGATTTCTAAAGGAGGAGGATTACATATTTACAACTTGTGGCATCAAAATGATTCATAATTTGTTTTTACTATTACTTCAAACTAATGGCAGCCAATGCCTTAAAATGATTTGGTTCATAAAGATTCATGAATTGTTCTCTTTTGTCAACCAGATGCTCCAAGGTTTTCCTCTGTGTCAACGAGTCCCTCTGCTGAGATAGTGGAGGGCAGTTCAGTGACTCTGACCTGTAGCAGTGATGCTAACCCAGCAGCTAATTATACCTGGTACAAGGAGAACCAAACACTGCTTCAAGGACAAGTTGGCATTTATTCTTTCACCTCTATCAGCTCCAAGGACAGCGGGATCTACTTCTGCAGCTCTAACAATAAGTTTGGCCAGAGAAACTCCACAGGATTACATGTAGATGTTCAGTGTAAGTGATTACAATCACATCAACACTGAGCGTACTTTAGTACAGTCAGTCGATTTAAGGTGGTAGAAAAGATGTGCTGTTGTCCAGCTGCATTAACAATTTCATTTCATTTCATATTTGATTTATTTGCTCAATTCAGTGTATGGTTTCAACACCATAATACACAACAAAAAATATTTTCTCATAATGCTGAAACACTGTTCATGAGCAAACAGGAGCAGGAAGAAGAACACTTATAATACCTGGCCCCCCTTTTCCTAATAACACAACATAGTGTTTAACAGAATATGATGACTAACCTGTTGTTTTCTCTTTCTTTCACAAAACAAAAAATAGATCAAAAATATAGAAACAATCAAATACAATCAGTTAGATTAACTCAATGCATTCATAATTTCCCAGAACCTTTTCTTTATACATTCTTTTAAATTGAATGATACTTGAGCAGAGTTTTAAATGATTATCAAGAGAATTTAACTCCATTTACTGAGATACACATTTGTTTTAATGTAGTGCGTGCAAATGGACTTTTAAAATTAAATCTCTGTCTATGTTCCTCCTCATTAGATGTAAATACAAACAAATTCTGTACATTTTCTGGTGATGATCTATTTCTAGCTTTAAACATGACTAATATTGTTTTCAAGTGAACTAGATCCTGAAATTTCAACACGTGAGCTTATAAACAGTCTGTTAGTATGTTCTCTAACGTTCACTTTGTTCATAAGTCTGATCGCTCTTTTCTGGAACACAAACAAACAATTGTTTAAACAAGAGTTGTAAATATTCTCAATCCTGTCTTAATAGTACAACCACATGCTTTTAGTAGTTTAAAGAGGTCACTGTATTACCTCCTCATCTATATGCTGGTCACAGGGAGATACTTCCCGAAAGAAAGTACACAGAACAAGCGAATGAGTATTGTGTTCAGTTCTGCACAAATTACCTTCCAAAGTTGAGCCAAATAGACTGCCTGAATTATATACTTCTACTATAAATCTTCCACCATCAGAAACTTAAAACAGAAACCTAGTTTTTTCTTTTGCCTTTACTGTTGTGTTATTCTGCATGTTTTCTCCTCCAGATGCTCCAAAGCTTCCCTCTGTGTCAGTGAGTCCCTCTGCTGAGATAATGGAGGGCAGTTCAATGAATCTGACCTGTAGCAGTGATGCTAACCCAGCAGCTAATTACACCTGGTTCAAGGAGGATGAACTCACCATGATAGCGTCAGGACAGATCCTCACTATCAAAGACATTAAGTCTGAACACAGTGGGAATTATTACTGTCAAGCCCACAATAGTAGAGGACTCCGTAACTCCACCTTTCATTCGATTGTTGTTTCAGGTAAGTCGTGCTTTTAACCTGAATTCACATGATTTATGTCCACATTACATTAAAGGCTTAATATGTGATTTTTCACACGTAAATGTAGAAATCAAGTATATCCTCTGAAAATAACTCTGTGAGTCATGACTGTCTACAATGGGTGTAACACCTGAGTCCCACTGTCTGTGATGTTTTCAGAGTTTTCAGAGTCCTATCTTCAGTTTGTTTACATCGCCAGGACGGCCGGCTGACTCCTCCCCTCGTGTATAAAAGTTGTTTAATTGAGGGACTAGAGAAAAGAAGAATAACATACTGTACTCACTGCTTAATTGAATGTCACGTAAGTGCTTCTAGATGACGCTCATTTCGGGTAAATTTACATAGATAGATGTAGATGAAGATACGAGCATAATAAAGATCGCTAGCTTTAGCATGCTAACACAACAATGCAGCGCAAGTTGTTTTGGTTTCATGCTGGTGCTCAAGGGCGACATCTGCTGGATCAAAAAAATCGCATATAAGGCCTTTAAACAGCCAGTCTCAATAACAGTACAACCCTGCTTGGTGTCACTGCACATTTTATTCCTGTAAACTTAATCTATCCATCTTAAAGGCTCGGCGACAACTATATTGCAAGATAGATTCCTTTGCCAATCAATATACTGTATGATGCGGTCTGAGTTCACGGTTAGCGAGCTTGTGTTGTATTAAAACTGTTACTGTTATCTCATGGATACACTGCTGTGCTCATAAACAAGACCTTTAAACTATTTAATCCCTTCAAACTGAGCACCAAGATGCTCCCAACCCAAAGGATGCAACCCACCCTTTTGCAGCAGAGTACCCTGTCCACTGACTAGGACATACAGACGTTCAACTTTACAATCTGCTATCATATGGAGCGTTCACACATGCACAAAACTCCTATAAACTTCCTGAAATTTCAGGTGAGCTTCACGTGTGAATGAATATATATATTCCGCAATATCCGTCTCATTTTTCATCTCATGGATACACTGCTGTGCTCATAAACAAGACCTTTAAACTATTTAATTTGTTCCTCTTCAATATGAGAGATAGGAGCTTTGAGCGCAGGAAAATAGCACCATGAACACATTACCCACCACCACCCAAAAGGAGGCAGCAGAGGGAGACCTCCCATGAACTGAGACATAAAGAGCAAGTCGTGCAGTGTCACTGACCCAAACAACATGTAATCCTGTGATCATTTATCAGTTATTGGATGAATTCTCTGTTTCTCAGGTTCAATGAAATCAGTAGCTGCTGGATCAATCACTGCTCTTTTTCTGGTTATCATTTTCCTCATCATCATCTTCCTATTCATAAGGTGAGCAGAGGGATTTATCCATGAACAGAGCTTCAGTACAGTCTTTTTACTATTTCATCCATTCTTTTTTTCTTCATATATTTTATGTATCAAGAAGAAAGAGATCCAACAAGCCTGAAGAGAGAACAGACAACGGAGGACAGGTATAAAGACGAGATCAGGTCTCATTGTTCGATGGTTTTTGGCTTTGATAACAAGATGCTTCTAAAATGTTTGCCTGATGAAGTCTTAAAGTCACTCCAAGTGCTTCTTAGAAAACCTTCTTACCCACGTAATGCTATATTTACTCTTCAGCTTCAGGTGGCTTCAGTCGGTGAAAACTCTTCGTCTTCAGCACAAAGAAAACCAGCTGAGGTGCAGGAAGAACTTTGTTATGCCTCTGTGACCTTCTCTAAAAACCAGGAAGATCCTCTCTACTCTAACATTTTGCAAGCCCCGCAAAACAGACCGAGACAAAGACCAAAACAACCCAAGAAGGAGGAGGAGGAAGATTATGAGGATGTGGAATACACGATGGTCAAATTTGAGAGAGCTAGTGCGTCCACAGAGTGAGTCTGTGTTTAAAGTTGTATTTGCTGCACAAGGTTTAAAGGAAGAATGTGCGACTATTTACACATAAACAGTATATCCTGTGTAAATGTGTCTCTGAGTCCTGACTGTCTACAATGAGGGAGAAGCTCGAGTCCCGCTGGCTGTGTTGTTGTCAGAGCCGTGTTTACATGGACGGGACGGCCGGCTCCTCCCCTTGTGTATAAAAGCTGTTTTAGTCCAGAACTAGAGAGAAGAAGAAGAACATACTCACTGATTATTTGAACGTCATGTATGTGTTTTTAGATCACGGTCATGCCGTTTAAATTTACATTCAATGTGAAGCTAACTAAAGAGCGCTAACATTAGCATGCTAACACAACAATGCAGGACACAGGTGATTGCAGCTCAAGAACAATTTAGTACACCGCTTGCGATTGACTCCTTAGTGCAAACGCCAGGTGTGAGGGTTTGGAGGTGTGTCTCTGGAGGAGAGCGGAGGCTTCAGTGTGGTGGAGGTGCTCAAGGGCGACATCTACTGGATCAAAAAGTCACACATTCTTCCTTTAAAGGAGTGATTTGACTGTTGATTTGAAAACAGTGAAATCGATGTCCGTTTTTTTTTTTTTGTGCTTTTGGGTGCCAGCATCATCAGCATGCTGTATTAAGGTCAGATCTCTTTCTCCCACTCTATTATATTTTTTTTCCATATTTCCCTTATTCCTGCTCTGTTAGATGTAGTTGTGTGTGTGTGTGTGTGTGTGTGGACGGATCCTGGAAATGGACAAACTATCGCGATCGTTTTTTGCTTTATTGTGGGGAGTTGGAGAGAATCAGTAGGGGTTCATACAGGGAGCAAAGCAAGCCCAAACAAGCAACTGCACTTTAGAAAACAAGCCCAAAAACCCACAACCCGCGACTGACGATATTTGAAATCGACTTCACAGAAAAACAAGCCCAAAGTCGTTTATAACAAGCGGACCTGGCAACACTGATCTGTGTGGGGTTTCAACCCATTCTTAACATGATGATGATTTTTAGTTTTTCAGTCTCTAACTATTGTTTTTAATTCACAGGTCAAGAAGTCCGGAGGTTGTGGAGGATCAATCTGCACTGTACAGCACGGTCACTAAGAAACCACGAGTATGACCAAATGAGTGAGGGTTCTGTTACCTCACAGTGTTGAAGCAAATATTAAAGTACATTTCTCTGGACCGATTCAGTCAATGATTCGATATAAAACACAAAAACAAACATGGTGTCTTCACCTTCCATCATAAACATTTACAAGTTTGCTTTAGGGGACTGTCTTTGCTTGTTTTTATACCTTGCCGTATTTTACATTTCTATGAAGTCCCTTGCTATGCTTCTTTTAAAAATGCTTAATAAAAGGAATCTACACGTCCAGGATCTGTACTGTTGGGGCCATTTGTAAATGTGATGTATTTATGGTTAAAGATTGCAAAAGAGCCAAACATTAAGACAGAAAAAAATGTGCTGTTACATTATTGTTTAATTGTGCTTATGTTGGTTTTAGCTCATGCCCCCCCCCCTCACACACACACACACCACCAGTTTAAAAAAAATCAGTGCTCAAGCTGACGTGTTAAACTGCTGATTACAGTCATTTACTTCAAATCACTGGTTATATCTAACAATGTATTAATATGCCCTACTTTTTTTTTCTTATGTAAAAAGTTGTTTAAATGCTGATGTCACAAATCCTTGAGCCTGAGGATTTTTTCACACTTTTCTCACTCCCTGGTTCTCACTTTTGCTTTGTCTTTTTGTTTCTTGACGATGAATATAGGCAACCTACTGCTCTCTGATCCTGGCACGTTTTAATTCATGGTGTCATGTAAACCCATGCGGGCTGGGCATAAAAATGTATGTATGACACAATAAAAAAACTTCAAACTTCCTCAGCCAATACATTCAGATCCCAAGCTGTAAGGGTTTGAAAAGAGTTTTAAATGACTAAGATCTCATGTTGCCTTAAATCTTGTGTTCTGCCTGGTCAATAAGTCATAACCTAAAACAGTCCGACACACTGCCTTGTGAAGATTAAAAAAGCCTTTAATATATCGTCCAAAGCAACAAGTAACTGTTGGATTAAAAACCCCGTTCTGTTTATAGTTCAGTGTGCGCTGTCTTCAGATGTTTCAACTATTTTACTCCACAGGAAAACCACGCTGACATCACTTCCTTACTTAAATAAACTGTCTTTTCATTTTTTTTTAAATGTGTTCCATCTGTGTCTGCGTCACTTCTGTGAAACTCGTATTACACAAGCAGTGAAACTTCCTCTTTTCATGGACTTAACAGAAGAGGAGCTGAAATCATCTTATTCAGTTTGTTCCAAGTGTCTAAATGTGTTGTCTTATAATACAACCCGATGTGAATGCAAAGAGATCTGACGTAGAAGAAGAGAACTCATGAATCTGATTTTTTTTTGGTAGACACAGTTTGAGTCATGAATCCTGTTTTGCTGCGTTTTGATGAGCTGCTGAACCTCTACAAGCTCTAATGTCTCGTAGGATCTCGTTGGTGTGGGCGGCCTGCTGGATGTCCCTATCCTTCTTCCTGCATCTTATCCCATCTCCCCCTATCCCATTTCTCAAGCTTCACAGTTTTATAACTTTGTTGCTCATGATGATTTAACGTTGGGTTTATTTAACCTTTTTTTTAACAAGTTGAGATCAAGCTCTCTTACACAAGGGGGACCTGGCCAAGATTGCAGCAGCACAGGTCATTATAGATATGATATTTGTTATAAATTGGTGCTATACAAATAAAGATTGATTGATTGACATGTGGTAGGTGAATTAAGTTTATTCCCTTTAAAAACCTTGAATGCATGTCATTTTAATTTAAGTGTCAGAAACAAACATGGTTTTTTGGATGACAGATGTAGAAAAAGGCAGATTTAGAAAGAGGATCTATCTAAGGTTTTCAATGAGATGCAACTAAAAATAAATGTTCATTAGTTTTTCAGTCACTCCCACATTTGTTTCTTCCTCTTTTTTGATTTCTTCCAAATCTGTTCACCATGTAGTCATCAGTGTCTTAGCTCACTGTAGAGGAACAACAAGAGGAACAACACATCTCTTTGATGTGGACACACTGAACTGGACTTCTCTCACACACACATTCAAACATCGGGGGGATGCAGCAGATGGAGATAGATTATATTAATGAGCGGCCACGTGCTCATCAGAAACACAGCGTGGATGTAAACCAAACAGGTAAGGAAAATCCCTTCATGTAATGTGAAGGGCATTTTTCTTCAGCTCAGTGTTGTTTTTACATGAAACTCTACACAGTGAGACTTTAACTTTAGAGACGACATCCTTCATCGTCCAATAGGGCCGTTTTATTGTAACTGTAAATATAATGTTTAAGCTGAAGGACGGGTTGTTCACTTCCTCGTTAAGCTGCTCTTACAAACAGAGCGCTCTGATGGTCGGCTCTAAATCAGACAGAATAGTCTGTAGCGGCTGGTCTTGAATGTGATCCCACAGCAGACTTTGATGTGATGATCACAGACGGACAGCAGGTGATGATAGAAGAGAGACAGCTGCAGCTGATGAGAGCTGAACAGTGCAGACACTACACTGCATCAGCTGTTTCTGAAAATGTCAACATCACCATTGACGATGAGCCTGTGAGAACATATGTGGCATAAATAAAGAGTCAAACATGCCTCTTCCTGTTCTCACAGACGTTGACTGTTTTGTGTGTGTGCTCATTCTGCAGAGAGAAGACTCTGTCGGCTTCTTCTCCTGAGCTTTGCTGTGCTGTGCATCATACAAGCCTCTCTCAACATTTCCCTGCGTCTCACAGGTTAGGACGGATTCTTTGCATCATGTCACTTTAGATGTGCACACACTGTTGCACAGACAACAAAAACACAGCATCGCATCACAAAACCTCTGTGGTGTCATTTCACGTTACACAATTGTCCTCAAACACAGACTGAGAAATAGCAGCTATTTATTTATTTAAGTGCTTTAAATGATTTTTTTTCTGTTTGTATTCTGTCAGTGAACTCAAACAGGGAATCACACGACTGCAACACAACTCAGACAAAGAGTTACGATCAGTTCAACAGATTACAGGAAAGATTCAACGCGCTGACCAGAGACAAAAACCTGCTTGAAAATCGAAACAATGAACTGAACAACCTGATAAAGGAGATGCAGGAGGAACAGGACCGACTGAAAATACAACTGAGGGGTGAGAATCAATCAAACCTTCATCTTCATTTCTTTCTCTGTCACTCTGATAATCTACCCATTGTTCACCTGATATCTGACTAATACCTGAACGTCATGTCTTTTTACTTATTTTACAACAAAGAAACCATCCCATCATTTGGTGAGGTTAAAAAACAGAAACTATTTTAGTAACCTTGGTTATTTATTTAATTTATTTAAATATGAACTTTGTAACCCTGTTGGGTTACGTACAGTTTACATCTTGCAGTGTCTTTTTTAAAAACAAGCAGCAGGAGTCACGACAGTCTGCGCTGTTCTTTTAGAAATGATTAGTTTTCCTATTGTTGTAGAATTTGAAGTAAACATGTTTATTATTTATCCATCACTGCATGTTGTACACTGAAATGTGTTTCTTAAAAAAAGAGAAAATGATTTTCATCACATTTAGACACACACACAAACCTCGTTGCCTGTGTGACAGAAACAGTCAGCTTTTGATGTGTGTTAATACTCGAGAGTCTCCAGAGTGGATCCTCCAGTCCAGCAGACAGCAGCTTCACTCCTGTTTCTCCTGTAGGATTGTAGCTCAGATCAAGCTCTCTCAGGTTGGAGGGGTTGTATCTCAGTGCAGCGGCCAGAGAACAACACAGCCTAGACACATGCACACACACGCATCGAGTGCATGCAGTGCAGTCTTCAGTGTTTGACTTTCTTTGGGTGGTGTTGCCTCTTACAAGGATTACATTTCACATTGTCTGTTAAAAATCACAAGTGATAAATATGACTGCACATTAAATATAAGGTGCAGCTCAAATATTTTCTACATTCAATCTTATTGTATCATAAATATATCACACTGTTAATGCTGAATGTTATTGTACATTAAAGAGTAGTTATCCTTTGAAGTGATGCCTGAGCAGTTTTAAAGTTTATGGTCAACTGTACACAATACATAATGTATTTCCATGAAGTCAATTTAACCTCATAATTGATACTTAAAGCTGTTTGTTTGTTTGTTTCTTCCAGAGATGGGTGGCTGTCCGTCCTACTCTCAGTGTCCTGCCGGTTGGAGGCAGATCGGCTCAAGATGTTACCTCCTCTCCTCTGACAGTAAAACATGGGAGGACAGCAGGAAATACTGTCAGAGTAAAGCTGCTGACCTGGTGGTGATCAACAGTGAACAGGAACAGGTACAGTGCACTCAATCTGTGTCTGGGTTTACCTATATGTGTAGAGTCATGGATTCAACTTTATTTATTTTATTACCATCTCGATCAACAGAGGGATTTGTACCAACTGGATGGGGATGTGGATCTCTTGTTCTGGATCGGTCTGTACGACACAGCCGGGACCTTCAGATGGGTGGACGGATCTATGCTGAGCAAACCGTGAGGCCTGAGAATAAACCTGAATGTTTTTGCTTCACAGCTTAATTCTGATGAGATCTTGGTATCTATTAAATAGAAAGTTAGACAGACCAAGATGCTTCTGATATTCACTGGTCTGAAACTGTCATTCAAGCCAGAAACAGACTGAAATTAATTAATAATCAAAGATGTTAGGTTCAAAATGACAGCAATTTATCACACACAGCGCTGTTTTCTTTGCAGTTTATTAAAAAGGAGAGCAAAAGCCTTTTTGCATTCCCTAACCCAAACTGAAGGCAGCGCTTATGCAGCTCTCTGCTGCCCTCTTCTGGACAAAAGCAGTACAACTCTGTCTTTAATTCTAACAGAGTAATTTCCCCTTTTACATCAGTGATTTGGCTCAATCGAAGCATTTGAAATCTTACTTCATGGAGAACCCCTGACAGTTAGTGTCAATGTGAGTAGATTTAAATATAATCAAAGACAATTCATGATGTGATTAATCCTCATAGATCCAATAAGAGACATTGTGTTTTAGCTCATGTACACTGAAGCCAAACTAAAGTCCTGGGTCGGCTCCTTCTTCATAAAGAACCAAGTTGACCCATGATGCTACCAGGCTTCAGGTTTTTTATTTAACTCATGTTCATTTCTGATTGATTCACTTCTTTGACGTCATTCTTACGACACTTGTCCTGCCAATAAAATAAAAACAACTTTAAAACACTGTAAGAGACACAACTGTGGTGAGGGTGTCTGTGGCTGAGTGGTAGAGTCGGTCGTCTCAATCCTCAGCTCCTGCAGTCATATGTCAGATGTGTACTTCAGCAAGACACTTAACCCTGAATTGCTCCCTCTGCTTCAGTGTCGAAGTATTAATGTATGGTATCAGCTAATATTTATGGCCGCTCTACATGGCAGCTTCTGCCATCAGCTTTCTTGTACTAACTGCTGTCAGTCCAGTTTTAACGTCTTCACACTAAACTGCTTCCATCACTGTTCTTCATTCAGATTCTGGCAGTCTGGTCAGCCGGATCGGGGTGGTCCCAACAACAGAGAGGATTGTGTGGAGATGAATCATAACAACCCGGTGCTGGCCAACTGGAACGACGCCCGCTGTGGAGACAAGCGACGCTGGCTGTGTGAAAAATCTCCCAGTACTTGTTGATGTGAGCTTAATGTTTTAATGACACAAAAAGAAAGTCACAATTAAAAGTACTTAAAAAAGTAATTCAAGCTCCTTTAAAGTCTAACTTACAATGTTTTGGTCCCGACATATTGCCAGTTAGTTGATTGCAATAAGACAGAGATCATTACTTTCCCATGCTCCTTTCTTATCAAATAGTTGTCAAATTATTTATTCAACATTTAAAGTACAAACAAAAGAAAATATGCTCCATTGATTTGAAAACTACCAGCAGCCTTCTGCAAAAGAGATTACTGTGATTATAATGTCAATAACAGAGACAGCAGAAGGACAGATTTTACACCATTGAGCTGCTCGTTAAGAAATAGAAAGCCTTTATTGTCATTATAAAATATACAACCAAACAGAGAAATGCTCAAACTCTGACGGTGCAACGTTCAGACAGTTACAAAGAGGTGCATAAAAGTTAAAACGATGAGTGACTCATAATCAAACGTCATCATAGTCCAATATTATTCACACAAGTTATATTTACAAAAACTAAACTTTATGAGTTAAAATGTCACAGAGCAGACTGAAAGGTGACTGGAGAGCTCCTTTCAGAACAAAAGAACATTTTCAGGAATAAAGACGCTTGTTTAGTTAAAGAAATGATGAATAAATACATATGTATAAGCTGCTAAATAAAAGAAAACCATCTCCTAAACTCTCTGCTCCATGCTGTTGTTAACTTCCTGCTGCTGAAGGTCAATGTTTCCACTTCCCCCACATCCTCCACAGCCTCGCTCTCCACAGTGAGTCCTGCATCTGGTTCAACTGCATCTGGAGAAAATCACATCAAACTAAAGTTATAGTTGTAACTGTGACTCTGAATGTGAAGTGGGCCTGTTTGATTCAGAGCAGGAGGCTCTAACCTGACTGGACTTCACAGCATGTGTTCCTGCTCCTCTGTGTCTTCTGTCTGTGCTGCAGTGACGGCTGACACGTTCTCATACACAACATCCACCTGATGACAGACGATAAGATTTGATCAGAAATATGTTTCATCAGGTTTTACAGTGATGTAGGAAAAGATTGATTAGTAAGGTCTCTCTCTCTCTCTCTCTCTCTCTCTCTCTCTCTCTCTCCTCTCTTCTCTCTCTCTCTCTCTCTCTCTCTCTCTCTCTCTCTCTCTCTCTCTCTCTCTCTCTCTCTCTCTCTCTCTCTCTCTCTCTCTCTCTCTCTCTCTCTCTCTCTCATCTCTGCAGGTTCATTTGGTTCAGTGGTGGAGCTCAGAGTTTTCTTCTTTCTGGATTAAATCAGAAAACAACAAATCCAAAGGTTAACATGATGAAAGTCAAATAAAACCTAAAACTAAAATAAGTTCAAGAAGAAAATAAAAGAGATGTGTGCTGACGGATGAATTTGTATGGTGTTTACCTCGTCCACAGAGTCAGGAGAAACAGAGAAATCAACATCAAGAGCAGCAGAGTCCACTTGATGATATGTATTATGAATGTTGAGTTCCCTGAGAATTAAAGATAGATATGTGAGACTCTTTACTGGTAGGATTAGATTGAAACATTTCATTTCTACTTTGTGATACCCTCTGTTCATCATTCAGTCACACTCTGACAGGATGGAGGTTCCTCTCTGAACATCGTTATGATTTTCTGTTTATTAAAATGTGAATCTGTTTTCTGCACCAGCTGCAGGCATTGAATGGTCGACTGGTTCAAACCCACATTAAGAGAATTACAGTGGTCGAGTCGAGTCGTGATGAATGCATGTATCACCCTCTCTAAATCATTACAGGGTTAGAGTTGGGCTCTAAACTTCAGAGATTTATTGAAGTGCTGTTTGGTACTTGAAGGTAAGAAAATACAACCAACAATGACCTTATTTTAACCACAAAAAGAACCTGCTGTAACTTAAACTGGAGTTCATGTTAATAACAAACTTATACATCTGAAGACAAGAAGATGGAAGATGATGACATGTAACAATGAATCTTGAGTCTTGTAATGGGACGACTCTTGGCCTTCTCTTTTACCTACTGAGCAGCTTTCAACTCAACAACAACAGAGTCTAACAAGAATTGTTTAATCAGACCGAAGCTGTGTGTGAAGCTTACCTGACAAAACAGTCAGATGTACAGTGGAGTTATGACGTCCTCTTGTGCTTTGGACTGTTGAGCTGTTGGTGAGTCTTCATCCTCCTTGAACCAGGTGTAATTAGCTGCTGGGTTAGCATCACTGCTACAGGTCAGAGTCACTGAACTGCCCTCCACTATCTCAGCAGAGGGACTCACTGACACAGAGGGAAGCTTTGGAGCATCTGGAGGAGAATCAGAGAGACCTTTGTCATCCACATCAGATGATGATGATGAACATATTACATTCTAACTTAGCTTTTGGTTTTGAAATTGAGGCTCATGACAGCTGAATAAAGGTTTTTTTTTTTACATTGAAACAGATAAACAGGACACTATGAAAAATCTAAATAAATAACAAATACCACTGAGGTACATGCTGCTATGAGGCACCATTTAATAGTTTAAAGATTCCATCTGATGGTGTGAATCAGTGAAGACTGTAAATAAACTCACACACTGGAGGAGACGGGCACTTCTCATGTCCTGATAGAGCACAGGAGTAACTGTCTGTCTGAAGAAGCTGCTCTGGTGAATAATAAGATGAAGTGCTATGTTTGAATTTCTGTCCGTTCCTGAACCAGATGTAGGAGGTTTGACTGGAAAGTCCACTGAGACACTGAAAGAGCAGAGCCTCATGTGGTCTGCTCACCTTCACCTGGAGATCTGAACATGTGAAGAAACGTCAACTGTTTTCACAAAACATGCACATATTAAAACATGTATTTATAATGTATTAGAAACAGTGAGCTCAGAAATATTGAGGTGAAAGATTACCTGTGACTGACAGAGTGACCCCAGGTCGACCATGATAACTGTCTTTGTTTGTTATGAATCCAAACCTGTACACAGTCGAGTCTGTCTCTCTCAGGTTTGTGATTCTCAGAGTGCATTTGTTCTCATCACAGATATTCTTCACACGACCTGAATACTCTGAGTCTGTTTCTACATCTTTGTAATAAAAACCATCTTTTCTCAACCAGAATGTTTTCTGAAGTGAGTTAACTTCTCCTTTTGTCCTCTCTGGGTATGTGAAGGTGCAGTTCATCTCCACAGTTGATCCTTTATAAGCACAGATCTGAAGAGAAGAGTAAGTCACTCTCCAGCTGTCCTGACCCTGAACCACTGTAACACAGAGCACATCAGGAAACAACCATCAACATCCATAACTTTAAAAAGAAAAAGCAAAAGTCTCTACATATAAAAAAAAACGTTTGTATCCAAACAGGAAGTAAAGCACCCTTAACATAAAACAGTATAATATCTACAATAAAAGCATAACATATTTAAAATGTAAAATAATGGAACTTCAAACATGTGATTAAAGATATGATTAATCAGAAATGTGTAATTGTTTGAAAGCCCTAGTGCAGGGTCTCCAACAGGTAGCTCGGAGCAGGCAGGTTTAAAGTAGCTCACCTATAGGTTGACCGACTGTTAAAAAATAAAGATAAAAATAAATCAGTGAATGTACCTCTTCCCACTATTCATATATTTGGCCCATTAAAACAAGTGTAAAGAAGTAATGTTTTCTTGGACATTGATGTGAATTCTCAGCAACATAGCTTACAATAAGAAGTGTAAAATATTCATGTTTTTTTCTTGGACCTTGATGTGAATTTAAGATTCTTGATGAGCATTGGCTTTTTGCAATTTCACACGTGTACAAACAGTAGCTTCATTCAGCTGATGTTAATGAATGCAAGAGATTTGATTGGCCACTTTCATTTTTTCAAAGAAGCTCTCAGATGAAGAAAGGTTGGAGACCCCTGCTCTAGTGTAAAAATAGACTGTATGTTAAAATTGACGGTGCAACGGCTGCAGTCAAAGGAGAAAGATTTAGAGCGCCCCCTGCTGACTGGCTGCAGTATAGGTCAAACTCCAACCTCCTCCATGATAACAGAAAGGCCATGGGGTCAACAATGAAATCTAAATGCATGCATCTGTTCTTCTGTTGACTGAACACACCTGAGGGATTTTTATGTTTCTCTGTACGTTAAATGTTTTCGTTAGAGGAAGTAGCGTGACGTCTTCCAGTGGATCCCTACTACGCAGACTCTGGTTGCAAATATGCAATATGTAAGCGCCCATCATGAGGATATTTGGCTTCATCTTGTTCAACAGAAGGAGCCTGAGGGATGTTGTCCATTTGTATATACAGTTAAAGGAAGAGTAGAAGATGTTCACTTGTTTCTACAGTTAATCTGCAAGTCGTTGAGACCAGACATCATCCAGTCTGAAGGTGTAGAGAACGTTAAATGTGTTATTTAGACCTGTGAACTTTACGGTTGTAAGAGGACGTATTGATTATCAGAGAGAAGAACGTCACTTTAGAGATGTTATATTTAGAGGGTAATCCCTCTCCTTCACCATTGTAGGATGAAAAGACAGTTTTATGTATTTTTGATGTGGCTGGGTCAATAATGCTCGTTTAGGAAGTGAAGGGCAAGAAATTCTTCATCATCCAAACATCGGTGAGTGCTAACAAGCTAACATAAGTTAAGGTTAGCTGACGATAGTATCTGGGTCTCTGTCAGTCAGTGTTCTGGGGCAGTAATGTTCGTTAAAGGCAGGAATATTTAGATCAAGTTAACACAATCTTTAATGTCATGATGAGGAGAAGTCTGTTCTTTTGTTCCCTCACAGGGACAGCAGAGTGTCTAACAGCATTAATCCACAATCTCCTCCTCTCTGGGTTTTCTTTCAAACATTCTGTAGAAGAACAACCCGGGCTCGTCTCCTCGTCGGTTAGTGCATCACATTCAACAACAACTGTCTCTCATTTGAAACATGGAAAAATTAAACTGATAAAAAAACACTGAGACCAATAACTTCTCAGTAGCGTTCAGCTACAGAGTCTTTATCGCCCGCCAGGTGGGCGGTTCCATAAGCGTGTGATGTCATGTGAAAACTATGAATTGATTATTAAAGACTTTTTGCCATACTTGGAT